CTCCACAAGGCTGGAAAGGGCTATGGGGCAATTGCCAAGCAGCTTGGTGAAAATAGATCAACTGTTGGAGCAATTGTTAGAAAATGGAAAAGGCTAAAGACAACTTTCAGTCTCCCTCGGACTGGGGCTCCATGCAAGATCTCACCTCCTGGGGTATCACTGATAAGAAAGGTGAGGAATCAGCCCAGAACTACAAGGGAGGAGCTGGTCAATGACATGAAGAGAGCTGGGACCACAGTTTCAAAGGTCACTATCGGTAGAAAATTACTCCGTCATGGTTTCAAATCATGCATTACACGGAAGGTTCCCCTGCTGAAGTCATCACATGTCCAGGCCCGTCTGAAGTTTGCCAGTGACCATCTGGATGATCCAGAGGAGGCATGGGAAAAAGTCATGTGGTCAGATGAGACCAAAGTAGAACTTTTTGGCTAAGCTTCACTCGTCGTCTTTGGAGGAAAAAGGATGAGTTGCATCCCAAGAACACCATGCCTACTGTGAAGCATGGGGTTGGTAACATCATGCTTTGAGGGTGCTTTTCTGTGAAGGGGACAGGACGACTGCACTGTATTAAGGCGAGGATGAATGGGGCATTTATATTGAGATTTTGAGCACCAACCTCCTTTCCTCAGTCAGAACATTGAAGATGGGTCATGGCTGGGTCTTCCAACATGACAACGACCCGAAGCACACAGCCAGGATAACCAAGAAGTGGCTCCGTAAGAAGCATATCAAGGTTCTGGAGTGGCCTAGCCAGTCTCCAGACCTAAATCCAATAGAACATCTTTGGAGGGAGCTGAAACTCTGTGTTGCTCAGCGACAGCCCCGAAACCTGACAGATGTAGAGGAGATCTGTGTGGAGGAGTGGGCCAAAATCCCTGTTGCAGTGTGTGCAAACCTGGTCAAGAACTACTGGAAATGTTTGACCTCTGTAATTGCAAACAAAGGCTTCTGTACCAAATATTAACACTGATTTTCTCAGGTGTTCAAATACTTATGTTCAGCAGTGCAAGACAAATTCTTTAAAAATCACACAATGTGATTTCCTGATTTTTTTTTTTTTTTTTTTAATTCTGTCTCTCAGAGTGGGAATGCACCTACAATGTGAATTTCAGACCCCTCCATGATTTCTAAGTGGGAGAACTTGCAAAATCACAGGGTGTTCAAATACTTCTGTTCCTCACTGTATATGTGGATGCTTACCTAATGCATAGGAATTTTAAGGTTTGGGTATCCTTGGTGATTTGTATTTATGTACATCATTAGACTGCATAAACAGAGTAGTACCCAAGCTCAGCACAGTGGGACCTGTAAATAATGGACTTATGCATATATGCATTCTAAATTATATACATTTGTTGTTTACTTGTCGTTTTAGTTGTGTTTGCAAAGTGACAGATATTCAATTAGTCATTAGCACAGTGCTTTTGTTTTTTCAATTCTTGCATATTCATTATCAGAACTTTGTGCTTGCTGCATTTTTATGGAATTGCTCTAAATAAACTAAATGCAGATTTGGGAATGTTATACCATTGTGCGTAGCCTGCAGAGCACGTATTTGTGGATCTCTTAGTTCTCAATTATGCTTTTAAATTATATGTATAAAGCTAGTCTTTTACAATTTCAGCTGTGGAGCATGTCCTTCTTAATATTTAAAAGAATTATTACACTATCCACAATTATCTTTACCTCCTTTGGTTTTCTCAGTCAATCCTCTAAATGATACGTTTCTAGCAGATTCAGACAAGTTAAATAACTTACTTGCTGTACTAGAAGCATTGTGTTTTTCCTCTTGGTTTTTACTATTTTCAGAAGACTTTGAAAAACACTGGTAAGCAAATTTAGGTTTCCATGATCTTCAGAAAGCAAATTCAACACTAGAGCACATATTTCTGGATATAGTAATTCTCCATCTCTGTTAAAATCAACATCATTAGATATTCCCATTTCTTCAATCTCAGGTTTCATGCCTTTCGGGTCAGGAAAAAAAAACAAATTTATAAAGTCATGAGGGTACAAATTATAGCTAAAAACTACAAAGTGGAATGCTATAAAAAAAAATATAATAAAAACAATTCAACGCTTAAAAAAGGTAATGCATAGTCATAAAATCCAATAATCCAAAGCAAATATATTAGTAAATTTTATGAAAATTTTGTGACATATAGGGGATGGGGGGGCATGGCTGGCTACTACTGTACATGTGAGGGGACATGTGCTGTTGAGTTGCTGCACTTAATCCTAAAACTATCATGTAAAGAACCCCGCTGCCTTAGATTCTTCCAGATCTCCTCTGTTTTAAATTCCCTGGTTTGCAATTCTCCTTTATGGCCACCATGACAAAGCAGAAAGAGGAAGCAGGTCCAACTGAGTGCAGCAGCCAGGATGGTGGGGGCACCTCACAGACCCCAGGGGGAGGAAGACAGCCTGAGGCTGGAGGTGCACTCCTTCAATACCCCAGCAGAGCCATCAATGTCTCCACTGGATTCTATGGCTGCCTTGTAACCCCAGCCACCAAACAGTGATCAAGCTGCAGTATCACAGGACATGATGGAGAAGAAGACGCAGATTCGGTGAGCACAGCTGACCCTGAACCCACAATGATAGGCGTTCTATCTGCTGTGAAGCAACGCAATGCCCTCCTTCATAGCATTACTAGCCAAGAGCAGGCTGTCAGAGACATCAGACTTTTCTTCTCTACGGCATGATCTTCACAAAGTGCATGAATGCACTTCTGCACTGAAAAGCCATTATTTTTATTATTATTATTATTATTATTATTATTACACAGGATTTATATAGCGCCAGCGGTTTGCTCAGCGCTTTACATTATAGTGGGAGACAATACAGTAACAATACAGTTCAATACAAGAGGGATTTGAGGGCCCTGCTCCTTGGAGCTTACAATCTAGGAGGGCGGGGTGAATGGTACAGTAGGTAGTCACTGTGGGGAATGGAGTGGTTGGAAGAGCAGAGGATTTCAGAATTAGCAGAGAGCGGGATAGGCTTCCCTGAAAAAAAAGGTTTTCAGTGATCACCGAAAGGCAAGTAGAGTAGGTGATAATCTGATAGACTGGGGTAGGAAGTTCCAGAGGATAGGTGATGCCCTGGAGAAGTCTTGGAGACGAGCATGGGAGGAGGAGATAAGGGAGCTAGAGAGTAAGACGTCTTGCGAGGAGCGGAGTGTACGGTTTGGGTGATATTTAGAGATAAGATCGGTTATGTAAGTTGGGGCAGTGTTGTGGATGGCTTTATATGTCATTGTTAGAGCTTTGAATTTTATCTGTTGGGCAACTGGGAGCCAGTGGAGGGATTGGCAGAGAGGGGAGGTGGATATGGAACGGTTAGTGAGGTGGATGAGTCTGGCAGCAGTGTTCATGATAGACTGGAGGGGGGATAGTCTATGATGAGGTAGGCAAATGAGGAGGGAGTTACAGTAGTCAAGGCGTAATATGACAAGGGAGTGAATAAGTTGCTTAGTTGTTTCCGGGGTTAGGAACGGTCGTATCTTGGAGATGTTGCAGAGGTGAAGTCTACATGATTTTGTCAGCGATTGGATCTGGGGCTGGAAGGACAGATGGGAGTCTAGGATTACATCTAGTACTCTGGCGTGAGGGGGATGGACTGAGGATGGTGTTAGCGATATTTATGGTGAAGTCAGTGGGGGTGGCGCGGGCAGGGGGGAATACTAGGAGCTCAGTTTTGGAGAGGTTGTTAGAGCCATGTTAGTGATTTGGAGCTAAAAGCTGATATTATAACTGCATTCCATAAGGCAGGTGCCAACTTTTTATTTAAAGATCCAGAGAGAAACACTGAGAAGCACAAACCGTTTTTTTTTTTTTTTTCTACTGGTAGACCTGCTGAAACACTCTTGGCTCTTGCTTATCCACCTCTTGAATTGCACGGATAGGTAAAAACCTTTTGCAGAAATACAGATTTCAAGGACATCTCCTCTAAAAGAAACAGCCATGCCGTTTTAAAAAGTTTTACACCGAGGTGCAAAAACAAAGGTCTAGATTCCAAAAAGTCAAGAAGCGCCTTCAGCAATTGCGGCTCCATCATTCAGTGATATACCCTGACAAACTCCAAGTGGTTGGAGATCACAGCTTCCGCTTTGACACTGTGGTAATGGATGCTGACTGGCTGGACAGGTATTACAGGTCGGTACAATGCAAATCACTCTGCTGGTGAGATGACCTCTCCTACTACCACCTTCTAGACATGCTACAGCCATAGTTCCCAAAACCTGTGCCCAGTCTTTAATTTGGCTCATTGCCATGGCAGTGGATAATTTACCATTTGAGGTTTGAGCTCTTCCTCACTGCATTAACTATTTCTGCCTGTGGAATTATCCTGTGCAGGCAAGTGGTCCCTCTACAGGTCCTCTCGTTATCAAACCAAAACACATTTATAGTTGCGCCTGTTACACGGATTTCTTCGGGCTACCCAATTCTCAGCTATTCCATCTTAATACTTCTGTAGCTGGATCCCTGATCTGTTATGTTGCACTGAGCTCACATGGATCGTGAAGAACTGGACCCTACCACCATTTATTTCTGAAAGGAGTGTTTCCCCTGTTTTAATGGACCATTCGGTTCCTTGGCTTGGTTGTTTGTTTTTTGTACCATTAGACTATTTTATGTGTCTTTTCATGTTATTGTTTTTTCTGTTCCAGCTGTCTACCTTTACAACTCCAACCCAATTGCACTATGCTGCAGCCTTGATTGTCATCGCTTGCACATTCTTACACCATCTACCCCTCCTGTCAGACAGATGCTATGGATGTTCATTCATGATAGATCAAACGGTTAAACGTGTTTTATGGGTTGTTGGTAGGATGAATGTTCTCTGAAATGTCAGTCTGTCACTGATTATGTGATATTTATTTAGCCCTCCTTAATCTGTTTGCGCGCACACACACACCACTGCTGAAACCATATGCCTGCTTGAAAAGACATTTGTTTAACCTCCTTAGCGGTATTCCCGAGTGTAGCTCGGGTAAAATGTCAGTACCAAAAGCGGTAACCCGAGCTACACTCGGGCTTACCATGCGGCGTTGCTCAGGGAGTCCCTGCAGCATTTACCTTGTCCTTCGCTCCCACGATGTGTCCCCTGCAGTGTCCCCGGCCATCTCCTCCATCCGATGCTGGCATCCTGCTTCCGTGTTCCGGTCCCTGTGACGTCGGGACATACGGGCGCCGGAACCGGCGGCAAATTTGAAATTTTTAAAAAATTTCATTTTTTTAAAAATGATTATTACATAGTAAAACATTGCTGTTTCAATGCATTTCACATACATTTTGTCCCTAGTGCTTTGTCCTGTGCCCTGCCTGCATTTTAACTGTTCTTTCTGCCTGGAAACTTAGAAAAGTCCATGGCGTCCAAAAAGCGTCCCTTTACGTCAAAAGCTGTTTTAGACCAGCTAGAGAACAGCGATAGTAAATCAGAACCACTTGCAGAATTGAGTGATAATGATTCGTGGGGAAATTCGTCATCAGACACTGAAAACGATTTTGCGACTTTGCTAAGCGATGTGCGAATTTGCCTCTGTATTTCAAATTTCAGTGTTTTTGGTTTGATTATATTATTGAATTAAATTTATTATATTATTTTTTATGATTTTTTATTAAATTATAATTTATGATTTTGTGTTTCAAATTTTATCCTACCTGGGATATTTACTAGACTCTTGTTCGTACAGATTTCAGTGAGCTATTCCTAAAAAGTACAGCCTACAATAAAAAACTACATATTTCCATGCAAAAAAATGGTACCGCTTTCAGCACAAAAAAATCGGAAAGAATCATACCGCCGAGGAGGTTAAACAGCATACCACCCATAATATTCCTCCTATGCTTTGGTGTATCTGTGCTGTTTCATCAGGGTGTTGTACTCCTCAGCCAGAAGACTGAGGTAGATGGCAAGGGTAGGTTTATTTTAGCGCACTGCACATTGTATGAACTGGAATGCGTGATTGCTACCTTTTTTCCTACTTGCTCCTGGTTTCTCACTGACCTCCTGCCATTTCCCAATGCTGCTGCTGATGCTCCGTAGACCGATATCCAACTCACTTAGTGTACATTGACTCTCTGACCCCCTTTGGTAGACTATGTCAAGAATTGGGATTGCATGATGTTTGGCACCTAACCCATCCTATAAAAATTATATAAAAGTGAAAAAATAAGTCCCAATTACAAGAATTAGAAAAATATCAAGAAGGTGTAAATGTGAATCTTCAATTGCTAGGCAATCAAACGCTATCCATGTGAAAACGCATGTCACCCACTCCATCCTCAGAGAAGGCTTACCAGATGTATTTGACTGTCAAATTATGGAATGGTCAAAATCAGCTAAAGAATGATCATTAAGCAACCTCTCCAGCCTCCTCCATAGCCTCCAAATGGTGTTCGCCCACTCCGTATTGACCGTCAATGCATGAGTTGTCAGGCATAAAAGTGTCCTCTTCATTCTTCATCTTCATGGTGCCTCCCTGCTTCCTGTGCTGTCACTCCCATGTCGCCTATTCAAAGTTTTTCCAGGGTCCGTTTACAATATAGTCCTATTGCGCATCAGCAAGATGACATCATGTAACTCCTTCCTTCTGATTTGGCTGATGGGTAAATGCTTTTTACCAAGTCATGCATGTATGTCTTGTAAATTCTTTGTATCAGAATTTAGTGATGACAGCTTATGATCTATTTGAACTAGCGCAGATTTTGATGTTATATTCACACAGAACCAATCCTGATGATGTACAACTTTAATGTCATTCTCAGGGGCGGACTGACCATTTGGAAACTCGGGCACTGCCCGAGGTCAGTAGGGGGCCCCATGAGATGTCCCTGGTACCTTTTTCATAGGCTTTTTTGAGTTTGGACACAGGGGCCCCATGATCCCCTATTGCCCGGGGGCCCATGAGTTTTCAGTCCGCCCCTGGTCATTCTAAATCCCATAACGTCTTATTCAGCACTGACTTTGTATTGGGTACCTCTGAAATTCTCCCATAAGCACACTCTTTGACCAAACAACCCAGAGGGATCTCAGACCTCTCTCCTTGTAGTTACGTTTGCCCCTGTTTGGATGGGTACGCAGACTATATGAAGTTTCAACCCCTTCTGGATGCCCCTCTTCCTCATGCATACCTTCACTTATGCATAAGGAATGGAGAAGGAAGGCCACATAGTGTCCAGCTTTAAACTGCATCATGGGACAAAGCAAGGTTTCCCACTTTCACTGCTGCCGTTCACAATGGTGAAAGAGCCCTTGGCCTGCCTGTTAAGACAGTGTGTGGAGGTCGTTGGCTATTTCTCTCATCACTAACTTCTGCCAGTTCTCCAGCTCATAAATTAAATTGGGACAAATTCATGCTATTGCCCCTAGATCCCCATCCTATCCCACTGGATAAAACCCTCTCCCATATTAAGGTGATCTCCCAAATTAAATATTTAGGCATAAAAATGTCTACTCTTGTTAATGATTTTTGCACTCACAATCTTGTCCCTCTGATACCCAGATTTATGTATCAGTGTTCATCCTGTTGTAAATGACCTATTTCAGTGGAGGGCTGCACCAATCTACTAAAGATGATCTGGATGCCCCAACGGCCAAAATCCTTGGTGGGAAAAAGAAGCCACCAAGGATTTTATTAGAAATACTTCAGCATCCCAAAGCTCAAAATCCCTGGCTCTAACTGCTGCACATCTCCCGAACTTGACTAGCAGAGAACGACTCGCTTTCCCCTCTGTAGGGGAACAAACCCTCTGTATGCCCTGGAGACCCTTACCTACTGAAAAACATACTCACACTTACCATCTATACAGTTAGTAAGGGGAGCTTTAACAACAGGTTTTGGAACTGGGCTAAGGTTGGTTTAATCCTCTCTCCTATTTCTGAATAAAACACAGGCAAGTGCTTTCAACAACTACAAGCTGAATTCCATTAAGGCAGATGGGTACTTTATCAATACCTTCAACTACTAAAAGCATTTATGGTGCAGAACACTACCCTGTCTCTGTCCATCTCTGACACATCTGTATTTGATATAACTGTCAAAGCTGATGATTGTAGGACTTAGGTTTATGCACTGCTCTTAAATTCTGGCTTAAATTTCCATTCTGCTATAAAAGAAACTGGGAAAGATATCTTGGTCCTATTCCTGATGATATTATTTAATCTATTCAGTCCATATCAGTCTTGCTCTTGGTTTCAAAAAAATGGTCTATGCTCGGACTCCTGTTGCAGCAAATGTGTTTGACTACAGTGGAAGTTAATATACCTCCCATGGCAGTGCCCAAAACTTAAACAGTACTAGTCATGGCTTGCTACAAGCCTCAGGTTGTTTAATACAACCCTTAACAATGTGATACATACCTCTCTGTAAATTATCCACATTGCCTGCATATTGGCAGTTTTTTATACTTTTGCTTTAGATGAATCCCTGGAACGGCCCCTGGCATTCTCTAGATCACTATTGGATGCACGAAGATTGTAAACCATTTAACAGGTCTCTACCTCTCCACCCTTTATAGAGGAATGGCTACAAAAAAGGTATATAGCATATGGGAACACACTCATTTAATGCAAAATGCCATGCATAAATTAAAACCGCCTGTGTTTCCACTGGTTGAATGCAGTCGATTCTACGGCTACCATGAGAATGTATGCTTTCTCTCCTAGTTTTTTTTTTTCTGTTACCCCCACTGAATTAATGTACTTTCTAGATTGTATAGTAAGTTAATGCTGCTAGTTAGGTACTGAACCTTGAGCTGTATTTGACAGCATTTTCCTCTGTGTCTTGTTTGACGTGTGTTTTTGTATGTGATATCCCTGACAAGAAAAATTGGATTCTTAAGTACTAGGAACTAGCTAAACATTGCACTCTACTGCACATATATTTTTCAGTTGTTTCAACATAACTATACACTCCTTAAATCCCGAAAAAGATACATGACTTACTCAAGGCAAAAAGTTGCCTTTTGCTATTAACATTTTTTTACAATTTCTTTTGTCTGCAGAATAAATATTTAGCAGAGAAACAAATGCTATAGTACCATCATCATCAGAGGCTTCCTCAGGGTTGCTTTCACTGTCAGCTTCATATCCTTCTTCTTCTTCATGAAGACTCAGGTTAACACTGTGCACCTCATCTCCTTCATCAGAAATTTCTTTGTGTTGTAAATTCAGCTGATTTGATTTATGTACCTAACAAAAAACATTCAGAGGTGCTGGTGAGCAGGTAAAAAGGGTTGAAGCCCACACCCTAGTAAATCTTTAGAAGAAAAAAAAAAAAGGAAGCAAAAACTAGAAAGACATTTTCAAATCAAATACACAATTTTCTAAATTGTGATCTAAAATATATAGTTTCTAGGCAGGTTTTTTTTTTTTTTTTTTACAGCCAATATCCCAATGTAACAGTTAAGTCAGAAAGAAATTATTTTACAGATCCAATTATACAGGTGAAACTCGAAAAATCAGAATATCGTGCAAAAGTTAATTTATTTTAGTAATGCAACTTAAAAGGTGAAACGAATATATGAGATAGACTCATTACATGCAAAGCAAGATAGTTCAAGCCGTTATTTGTCATAATTGTGATGATTATGGCTTACAGCTCATGAAAACCCCAAATCCACAATCTCAGAAAAATTAGATTACATAAAATCAATAAAACAAGGATTGTACATAGAACAATATCAGACCTCTGAAAATTATAAGCATGCATATGTACTCAGTACTTGGTTTGGGCCCCTTTTGCAGCAATTACTGCCTCAATGCGGCATGGCATGGAAGCTATCGGCCTGTGGCACTGCTGAGGTGTTATGGAAGACCAGGATGCATCAATAGCGGCCTTCAGCTCTTCTGCATTGTTTGGTCTCATGTCTCTCATCTTTCTCTTGGCAATGCCCCATAGATTCTCTATGGGGTTCAGGTCAGGCGAGTTTGCTGGGCAATCAAGCACAATAATCCCACGTCATTGAACCAGGTTTTGGTGCTTTTGGCAGTGTGGCCAGGTGCCAAGTCCAGCTGGAAAATGAAGTCAGCATCCCCATAAAGCTTGTCTGCGCAAGGAAGCATGAAGTGCTCCAAAATCTCCTGGTAGACGGCAGCGTTGACCCTGGACTTAATGAAGCACAGTGGACCAACACCAGCAGATGACATGGCTCCCCAAATCAACACAGACTGTGGAAACTTCACAGTGGACTTCAAGCATCTTGCAGTGTGTGCCTCTCCATTCTTCCTCCATACCCTGGGTCCTTGGTTTCCAAATGAGATGCAAAAGTTGCTCTCATCAGAAAAAAGGACTTTGGACCACTGAGCAACAGACCAGGTCTGTTTTTCTTTAGCCCAGGTAAG